GAACTGTAGTATAAAGTACAATTTGTGAATGTGAGAAAAAAAAAAGAGATGTGCTGTAATATATCATCCTATCAAAGCAAAATAAATTAACTGAACAGAGAAACAGAAAAGAATAAAAACTTCTACATAATTCACGTGTTAACAATTAAACCTTTGTTATAAGATCTGACATGTGCTAATAGGAATTGCTCCCTTGAATCCCTGCACATCAAGATTTAGTCTGTACTCCTTCTGCTTTCTTTGAAATTGCAGGCTAATATACGTGTACTAAATCACAGCTAGAGAGTAAAACCTCCAGAACAGGTAAAAGGAAAAAACAGTATCTTTAACAACAATATGTTTTTGGTATGTTAGCACTATATGCATTTTATTTTGGATCATAGTCATGGCATAGCTAAAGCACTGCTGCTTCTGTTATCATTCTAAATGTGGGGAACTGCTCATAATAGTAACAGAAAAAAAAAGCAACGAATTTACTTGGCACTTCTCAGCAATTCCTTGTACCGTCATGTTTTCTAACAGGTATTCATGCATACATAATATATAGGTCTTTGTAGATTTGGAATGAAGGAGAAGTAAGGGATTTGATAGCTGGAAAGGCAAGTTTTAAATTTTAAATACTGCCAAAGTAGGTTAGATGTATGATGTGTGTTTTATCATCTAACCAAGCATTCATACCTTTCAGTTTTAACCTTTTGGGTTTTTTTCCTAGGCAATATGATCACCTCAGGAAGTTTGGTTTAAAGGCTTTAGCCAGCATAAAAATATATTTAAATTAGCCAAGCAGCTATTACTTTTTTTTTTCTTTTAAGACTTAAATACTGTCTGTATTTTATAAAGGTGAATTCTACTACACTAGCTGCATCAAACACAGAATATTAATCAGACTGTGAAGCTCCACTAATTATGTGCCATATTTAAGTAACTTAGATTTTGTTAAGTGGCATGGCCAGAGATATTGTACGCATAATCTAACTGAGTTTTGAGTCATTTCCCTTTTCTTGTCTGATTTTATTCTACACAGGAAATGACAAGGTCATTTGGAAATAACTGCAGTGAAAGATCAAAAAGGAAACCTGATTGAGAACACTATATAATTGCCTGTGCTAGAGAAAAAATAAAATCCAATGAGTTTACAATCTATTGCTTTAAGATTTCTCGAGAAAACACAAACTGTGGTTTCTCTAAAAGGATATCCATCACAACACTAAGTACTGCTTTTATGTGTTGTAGCTGCATGTCTTTTAAAGAAGCAAGTCTCATTAGGCTACTGGACTTATTATTCAGTAGGTAATACTTTTGGCACGTATGGAGCACAGATTTACTCACTGAACTAAAGCAAACCATTTCACTTCAAGCAAATAATTTCACTGACTTGTCTCAGAGTCTTCATTTGCAAAAGGAGATAATACTGTAATTAAGTTCTTGGAACATCATGGCTCTTGTTATTTGGGCAAATCTGGCCATTACAATTTACAGTCTCCCATCCCAAAAGAACACTTTTCTCACTGGAGCCAAAAGAAAAATTTTCAGGCATTAGCAGCATTCAGCTTCGACTACAGATCACATCCAGCTGTGAGCTGTGGTGTGCCTACATGGGCTTTTTTGGTAAGACATTGATCTATGCAGCAAGACAGCAGTCAGCCTTTCCGAACAGATTTGTCCTCTACTCCCAGCACGCAGGTTTCCCAGTTCGTCTCCTGCCCCCTTCTGCTCCCTGAGCAGATGTGTTGCAGAGACGCAGCTCCAGGCACGCTCCTGCCATGGCCACACGTGCCAAACCAGCCCCACCGACTCGTCAGGGTTTGAGCTGCTCATTCAAGGGACTGCAAAGACAGAAGGTAATGCTCTCCTTTAGGGATAAGCATTTCTAAATATAACAAAGTTGTAGTAAAACAACTTGAAGTCTGTGTAGGATTCACCTCTCACCACACTTTAACACGTAAAGCAAGTGCAAACAATGCCCTAAATGTGTATGTGTAGCTTCAATGCCTTAAACTGTTACTTTTTGAAGAACAATGTATCACCCTATCAAAATAAACTCCACAGGAATATAACTATTGATTTTCTTGGGCATTGCAGTGTGGCTAGACAAATTATAAACTCTCCGCCATGGAACTCAGAATACAAAATAGATGGACTAAACTGGTGCCTAGGTATGCAGCGTCTGTGAGAGTTATGGCTAAAAACTGTCATGAAGGTTTTTGTGGCAGTTATAACTGTAGACCGCACTTGTTTCTTTGTGTCCTGGGTTTAGCTAAAAACCCAGCTCTGTTCAGTGATTTTTACTTTCCAGTTTAGTCTCTTCTCAAAGGCTGCGCTTTCTGAAGTTAGCGGCGTCTTTTTGCAGACAGTGTGTGCTACTGGCAGTGATTACAGTTACTGCCAAGGGACTGGGATGCAGAAAGGCTCTTCCTGATACTTATTCCTGCAGTGACCAAGGCCACTACTGGCTCCTGTGTGCCATGCTGGGGGTGCCAAGTAGTAACAGGGGGTCACCTCTGGGGGGTAATAGACAGGAGAGTATGAGAGTATTCCATCCCATATACGTCATATTTAGTATAAATTGAGTGATCACATGAGTTTCTCCCCTTTTTTCTGCAATGGCCGGTGTCCAGAGAGGACACCATCTGACCTCGTGCTTTTGATCCGGTTCCTGAGTTCCCAAATCCAGCTCCCTGTATCCAGCTCCTGCTGCCGCTGAGCCCAGGGCTACTATCTATAGTTGTATATAGTTCTTTACTTTTATCATTCCACTATTATTTCTATTATTGTTTCATTAAAGCTCTTCTAGTTTTTCTTCTCTAACCCAAAAGTCTCTCTACTGGCCCAGCCCTAACCTGTGACAGATTTATTGGCGTCCAACATGGGGCAAGAAAAAAAACACCAGTCAGGCTCAGGATATTTTACCAGCTATTTAGATATGACTGGGCTCTGATATATTGCCGCATAGTTTAAATTCCATCCGGTGCAATTGAGAGTATGTCAGATCTTTTCTTTGAAAGTGCTGAAGGGTTAGAAAAGAAAACTGGACAGCTCACATCATGTTACCAGTCAGTGAAATGGTATGGTATGTCGTTTTAAATATGGGTTCCTCTTTGGGTGTCAGAATTTTGTCCAAACTCTCGAGTGTGTTTGGACTCATCTTCCTCACGTTCCACTCATCTTCCTGTGGTTTGCCTGTTCTGGTTACGTGACGAGACCTCTCACTGCGCTGAGTTTTTACTGTTGGTGTATTCTGCAGTAATTTGGGTGGTTGGCTTACCTGGATACCTTGGCAACACAGTGATGAATTTTGTTTCTAACTACACTTTCACTTTCGCTTTAGGAAATTATACTAATTTGTTTGCTAATCTGAGTCTACCAGACTTTAACGATTGTGATTGTAAGGGCAGTTATCTTGATCGAAAGGCTGAGATTTTTTTATTAATATTGATGTTAATGCTGATTTTTTCAAATCTGTTTATGTTTTGGCAGTTAAGTAAGCATTGGTGTAGGACAGTGACAGACAGCGTGGCCTCCGTCACTCAGTCTGTATCAGCAAAAGTCACCCCTGTGACTAGAAAGAAACATCGGAAAAAGTCAATTGCCCTAACAACAGATGACACAAATCCAGGACACTTGGTGGATCATCACCAAAGTAATTCACAGAAACACATTTCTGCCGTTGTGTAGCATAGGTGGTACCTTCAGCAGATGCAGAACTCCCCTGCAGACAGACTGTGCAGAGTTTTTTCTTCTGTGGCTGGGACAGTGTATATACACTGATCTCTGCCACCCAGAAATAGGTTTTAAGAAAACATAAAGTCATTTCTCTTAAGCTTAAGCCCACAACTGATAAGATACACTACTCAAATTTACACAAGAAATTAATCAAAGACTCATTAAAAATAATTTTACCAATTAGAAAGTGCTAACCAGCCATCGATCTGAGTAGCTAATATAAAAATACCCACTGTAACACAGTAACGCTGAAGTGCTGTTCTTCTTATGTAATGACGGTTTTGTCACTGATTTTATCTCAGCTGGAATTTTAAACCACCTCACAGATGATGAGAAAAACTTCCAAATATTTGCATCCATGTCAAGAAAAGTCCTTCTTTTTTACGATTTGGTTATTTAAAAGCAATATGGAAAGAAATTATCCCACATCATTTATAGAGTCAAACCATCAACTTAAACCGTAAAGAAAAATATCTAGTGCATTAATTTTAACTTCACTGTATACTGATATGCTAAAATACATGTGCCATCAAAAATGTCTACTATGATGCCTCTCTAGCCAGCCAGTTGTCTCCTAATACAAATTATAAATGTAAATCCTTTTCAATGTATTGTAACATATACTCTCAAAATGCACAGTCAGGCTGAAGGAAGGTTTATTTGATGAATTGAATCTGTCAATTTGATTAAAGGCCACATCCTGCATCAATGCATTTTCCTACGTAGTTTTTCACATGTAAGTAGAATACGTGACAAAGTCTACAGTGGAGGCAATTCACTATTATTAACTGAATGCTTTCAAAATGTTGAATTCCTAGCTACCTTGTTTCTTTACAGTCACTATAATTAACTGATGGTGGGTACAGTAGAAACAAAACTCTGCAGATACACATGTACACATGAATGTGTCTGTGGTCAGTGGTCAGACTAGGTTTGGTAGACAACCTTTTCTGATTTTGATTGTTGATTTCAAAATAGAGTCAGACTCATGCATTGCTAATTCAAATTATATGCACCGACTTATAAATACATACACAAAAGTACTGCTGATTTAACACAACATCTTAACCAAGCAATGCGTTTACACTTTTTTGAAATCCAAAATTAATTTTGAATACGAGGATCAAAACATCTAACTTGTATTCTTTAATCAGCCATTTTACATTACTATTGCAGTAATGTTGACATGAAGTTGCTTTGAGCAATATAAAACATATGCCATGGTGCATTCATTAAATAACTCTGCATAATGAGTTCCATCTATATAAATGACTTACCTCATTACTTATCACAAGTTCGTCTCTAGGACTGTGGAAGAGGTACTCATATAGTTTATAGTGTTTAAATAAGCTGCACAAAAAAGAGAATATAGTACTATCACAGCTGTAAATCTTTGGAAAGGTAACAATATTAAAAATTCTGTTAAACTAAGAGTTACCCTTCAGAACTGTAATGCTCCAAATTTTAAAAAGAAACACTTATTTAACCTCAAGTACAATATACAGAATACCTAATTTACAGGATTTATTATCAGATAATGGCCATAGAAAATGCAGTAAGATACTTAAAAATGCATCTACTTTATCCTTATGAAATTGAACTATGAGAAGACAAAGTTCTACTCTGAAAAATGTAATTCCTGAAACACTTATCACCAGGACATTTACACCTTTAATATCAGCAATAGTGTACATGAAGGAAGCAAAGCCAGATCAGCTTTGAGATTCTGGATGGGCTGCCAGTCCAGGGAGCAAGTTTGATCTTGGAACATCAAAACCAAAAAGAATGAAAGCATTTATTCTCTCAAGGTCATATTTCAAAATCCATCTAGTATTTTCTCAAAGAAAAACCACAAAATTAGACTGACTCACTGGAGTAACTTTAAGTAGACCTTCTCAATGGCCTAAAATATTTATCTTCCTTAAAACATATATGCCTTTCTTTTTCACATTTGTTAAATAACTTCCCTTGTTCCCTTTCCTAATGATCAATGATATAGCATTCATTTAATCAAAGGTTTGATTAATCACAGTCCATCAGCTACAATTACTTGTTCTCTTAAAATCATGATACAGAACTTCTTTGAATGGAGTTAAATCCAGTTGGCTGGCTGAACATGAGCCAGCGGTGTGCCCAGGTGGCCAAGGAGGCCAACGGCATCTTGGTCTGGGTCAGAGATCGTGTGGCGGGCAGGAGCAGGAGGTGATCATGCCCCTGAACTCTGGCCACAGGCCCCTGCCACAGTACAAGAGGTTCCATGAAATACTGCAGACAGAGAAGACTTGCTCTGATTTCGGCAGTGCTGAAGTGCTGACTGCTGTACAGCAGCAGTTCTGCCAGCCCAGGAAAGCAGCTTGGAAGCAGGAGAATCAGCTGGTGGCATGGCCTGCCTCTCTTACAGCACAACAGCTCATCTTCCAGAGGTCGGTCAAATGCATCTGTGAGACCTTCCAATGCCTTTTTACCGGAATGGGGGCAGATGTTTTTGCACATACGCACAGACACATTTCCTAATTTGGTGAGAAGTGTTATGGCAGCCTCACTGAACGTTTGGCTCTTTAAGTTTATTCCACAGTTGCATTTAATTCAGTCATTCAATTACCATTACTTAAAAATGAAATTTGTTTACCAGCTTGCAGAAGAAATTGGGCTATCATTAACTACAAGTTCCCTTCCCCTAAACCCAAAGCAGGTAGGCAATTAATTAAGTTGTTACAACATTTGTCATTCATTTTTATGGCAGTACTTCACCAAAGGATTCCTGCCGCATTTCAGTGGAAATACAGTAATTATTCTTAAGCAGACTTCAGGAATTAACCTGGAAATGAGTCAAATTAAATGACACCAATTTACGAAAACACACATGTCCCCTCACATACCCACCTATTATGTGGTACAACTCTTACAGGGAGTATTTGAAAAATCCAAAAAATATTTTATGAATATCAGACACACAAGAAATAAGATACATAACTTTTAAACTTCATTAGCAGAACTTAACATTTCAAACTCTAATTTTTAATTGCCTTGGAAAGGAGACAGATTTGCAGCACCTGACAATCAGTTCTTCCCCTCTCCTTCTAAATATGTTAAGATATACTTAATGGACTATGTTACAGGTACAAAGAATTTAAAATATTCCCCAAAATTTAAGTTATTCCTTTGGGCATTTCAGAATTTCATTTGTTTATTTGTAAACAGAACTCTGTTCACCCTTAATCCTATATCAAGGAAAAATTTCCCCCATTTAACGCTCTTTAAGTCAAATCACATAAATTATACAACAGCATTTATACTGAAACAAGAGAACAGTTTTCTTTCTTCTATCACGTCTTATATAAAATGGAGGGATTTGTTTGTATCCGTTGTGAACAATTAAAAACTCCATGCCAACGTTTTTAGCAGTTACACAAAAAGAATTACACACATGCAAGTAAGATTGTTAAGAATAGACGCTCTTATGATGTCATACGAGAATCTGAAGGTGATTAACAATGACATATTTCCCTGGCTCCAGTGCTTCCTGAAAGAAAATGTCAAGAGCTATGCTGATGCGCATTTGCCCAAGGAGACAAGATAAAAAGATGATAACTGTCACCTTCCACCAAACCTGAAGGTGTCATTATACTTGCTGCATAGTTGTGCCAACGTGGTTAAGCATTTGTCCCCATTTCCATTATAAATCCCATGGGTTTAGAGCTCATCTGTAAAAATGTGATCTGAACTAAAACATGTCATACTATCTTGAGTAGAAGAAAAAGTATAGGCTTATTATTTAAAATTAAACAAAAAAGTGAAAAACAAGAAAAAATGTTGAAGTAATACATTAATTTGACTTGTAATAAAACTTGGTCAATGTATTTCTGAGCATACAAAGTTCAAAACACAGCTACATAAGTGTGCTTATTTGGTTCTTATTTAGAAAAAACATATTCAAATACCTCAAGTAATGGATTGTCTAAACTAGACACCTATGATGCATGTCAGTGTATGTGCATATATCCTTGCAACAGCACGTACTTGAAGTAAATTGAGCAGTTTGAATATACAGCCACATATTTGGTGGCTAAAATACCGTTCTGCTGCAAAAATCTTGTGATTTGGTTGTATTCTCACCCAGTTAATAATTCAGTGGTACTAGGATGGAGCACCTAATCTCTTGGATGAAATTCTTGTGACTGTGAAGAAATTACCTCATGGACAAGATCTCTCGCAATGGATAATATACACAAGAGTTATAGGCATGCTGTTTGGAAAAAACATTTGTTCCAAATAAATATACAAAAGGTGCAGACAGGAAAGGAGAAGTGAAAGAAGTGAGACATCTTAAATGCCAAGTTTCCTTTTAGTTTAGGGCAAGTACTTGGCAGGATATTGGTTTGCCTTGACTACAGAAATTTGAGATGTAAAGAGATTTCTCATGTCATATGGAAAAAGCCTGATTTTTTTAATATACATTTTCCATGAAAAAGAAATAAAAGAAAAAAAATCAGAGAGCAGGAGAGACAAACTTTATAGCCCAACTGTAAGAGAAATTGCCTGTGATAGGTTTAAATCCCCAGTTTGAGTACTCTAAATTGGAAGGCTATCAGCCAATTGTAGTATTTTTGTCTGTCTTCAGGAGGAAATACTTTTCTGCATCTAGGAAAATACCCTAAAACACCTCTTTGATGTGTTAACCTTTTCCTAGCAAAAAAAAAAAACAGTTAAAAAATTGCCAGCAACTCTCTGTATGGATCAGTCATTATCTTACTTTTTATGCCATCTGCCACAAAATCTCGCTCTCCAACCACCGTTCAGGTCAGAAAACGGGCTGCTAAAGGGCTACAGATGTAGTACACTGTATGAGCATATATTGCAATAGTAGCCTTTCCACTTCCCACCCAACATTCATGGGTGAAATAAAGGCTTGAGCACCGTTCTGCCATCATGTCCTGAAAACGGTGGTGTCTGAGTACGGGCACTGTCTTAACTACGGTGTTTCAGTGGAGAAAGGTCTGCACACGTTGCATAGAGTTAAGACTGTACACGGAGAGGTGTGATTGGCTGCTATCAGACCCTTAATTTTCCTTCTCAGATAAATTCTCTCAGGTAATTTCTCTTTCTCTGTTTAAAAGGTATGACATGTCACAAAACCTTTTCATGGAGAAACTGAACTTTTCCAGACTCTGAAATGCAACAGTTTTATGACTCATGTATGACCATGACCTTAATTTGGAAAAGTACACAACTTTAAATCACTTTAAAAGTCCACTACAGCTGTCAAGGCCAGACAAATACTTGAAATTATAGGCAAGGTCTAGGATTTTGTTCATGTGGAATCTAAAAATAGAATCTTGTAAAAGCAAATCAAGAATATTCTCTATATACCACTCTCTCCTATTCCTTTTATTATCCAAAAAAAGATGCAGGAGGAAGCTTTTCAGCATAATCTTAAATTTTAATAAACTTCCAGTCTAAATCTTTTTCCTGGGCTTTGACATCTGAGGCCAGATCACAGAATCCCAGAACTTTAAAACAGATCTTAAATGCTAGTTGCATATTCCCTCTTCTTTTTAATATTTTAAAATTTGGTGTGTGCGGTATGTTGGCATGGTATGAACATATCCAATTAAATAAATTTAACTTATTTTCCACCGTGTTGATTTCTTCAAATAGAAAATAATGGATCCTGTAGAAATAAATACCTGATATTCAAGTAATCAATGACTGCTTTGGCTTGCTCAATGCTGAAGAAAGTCAAGTCACCGCTTCTTTCTGAATCAGTTTCTCCTATTCCAGCCATTGCTCTTCCAAGTTCTTTTAAATTATCTCCTAAGGTCATATGTTTCTCTGCAAAATAATGCCAACAAACAAAAACTAAGTATAAATATGGCAGAGCAGGGTGAGGGGTTTTTGGCACATTTTAATTACAAGACTTTCTGAGGTGTAAGAAGTCATGAGCCACGAAGAAACTTAAAAAGCAACAGCAGTGAAACATTTTTGTCTGTTGCCGTTACTCTTAATCAATAACCCATGCATTAAAATTCCATCACAAAATCATCAGTCCACCTCCATAACATAAGGATCACAACAAGGGGTGTTTAAGACACTACAGCTTGGCCTCTTACTTATGTAGGGATAACCACAGACAGAATAGTATATAAATTTGAGATGCATAGTATGTTTATCTTTAAAACAAATCTACTACTCGTTATGTATTGACCATGCCCTGTGCAAAATAAACTATTAATACAGGGACAGATATTAAGAACGGTAAGAAGTTTTTTTAAATTGCTTACAGCCATAGTTGGTTAAACATGAAAATGCATAATACTCTGCACATATCATGAAACTTGGAGATGCTTTTGCCCCCTACCCCCAACAGATAATTACTTTACATTTTTTTACCCTGGAAATTAAAACCAAATGCCAAAAGTGCTTTGAATCAAAACGTAAAATCTTCTTGCCAATTGTCTTGACAAAGAGGAAAATCTGAACTATACCAGTGTTTCCTGAACCTTTAAAAAGAAAGGATTCATCTTTCTAATTTGCGTACAGCATGCGCTATCCCTAGAACCACGGTGTTTCAAAAAAGGTTTGAACACAATTTACATGTTGCTTTTAAGTCTAAAAGTTCTAGAGAAGAAAACAGTGAAATATCCATCAGTGGTGAAATAGATTTATTGTCCTTATTGTTTTAATTCTCTACTGATCTGCTCCTTAGTTCTTTGTACAAAAGACAAATTAAAAAACTTACAAGATTCTGGTCTTTATAGTTTTGCCCTTTAGTGGTACAGCAATCAAAACCCTGAAATTTCAGCTGTTCTCAGTAACAGAGGCAGCACAACATAAATAACCACAATGGAAGAAACAAGAAAGTAATACAGAGAACGTGGAGGAAATAGAAGCCATGGGAAATGAGAAAGAGTAATAGAACCAGAAACATCATAGCTAGTAGGGAAGTGAAACCACACAACAAGATCCTGAGAAGTCCCAACACCCAGGCCCAGGTCTGTCGGCACGTTGTCCAAATTTTCTCTTTGCTTCGCACACCTGATTTTCAGCCCCAACCACCGCTCTCCGCAAGGCTCTCACGGTACTTCTGCGAGGTAAGGAGCACTCAGCCCTCACTGTACAGAAGATGAATCAAATGCAAAGTAACTAATCTGGCTCCTAATCAACAGCCTCCAGTTCCCAAACCTCTCCTTTACCAGTCTTAAATGACTTTCCACTACTCTCCTCTAAATCCATTCTTCCTGCTCCACGCTATTCTTGCTATTGCGGGCAAATCAGCTTAATTCTCCAGTTCATTTGGGTCCAGGGTAGGGAAGGGAAAACAAATGGTCGTTAACAGAGAAGATGTTAGCATTTTGCTCTTAGTGGAGATGTTTGGTGGTGTAACTTGCACCAGCTGAGAACAGTAATTACAAGGGAATTCATCTCAGCTCTGGGCTACAGCACACTTCGTAAAATAGATTATTCAGGGAGCTTAACTGTGAAGAAAATAGAAGAAGTCTCCTGTAAGCATTTACAAACTGCGTTTTCTTTCTCTAAAAGCCACGTATCTTGGCCAAATCCAAACGGATTTTCACAGGACAGTAAAAAGCAAATTCACAACACTCGCTTGCCAAATCTTATGTCTTTACTTCAAAGCATAGGGGTATTACAGCTGTTTTTTTAAAAAAGCACAAAATAATACTTCCCTCCGCCCCCAGCCTGTGTCCGCAAGCCCATTGAACTGTTTTAGTTGTAGTTTTATATATAAAATTTAATCAGAGGCAGACACTGCCATGGAAAATTTCAGCTCAAAGAGTTAAAGTTTGGCAAAGCTTTACGCAACAAAGATCACATTCCTGAAAACCATCAGTCAGTTTTAATAATCGCTTGTGCTACCAGCCTGTCTAGTACACAAGCATTACATACAGACTCATAAAACTAATTTCTGACATGTTTCCATTCTTTCCCATTGTTATATTAATACAGTTAGCATATGTTAAGATACTTTCTCATTGGAGACAGGAAGGACAACTGGAATTTCAATGATCATAACGCACGTACATGTTCTGTCAAAATTCCAAGTCAGAAAGGCCCTTGAATTAAATTACAATGAAAGAGTATAATAACTATTATGAGCTTGATTTTAAATATTCATCTTCTCTTTGAATGGAACTGCTGAGTCCTTTCGCTCTTCCTCTGGGATGGACTTTTCTCGACATAATCACTTTCAAAGTGAATGTTAAGCAAGCATTATGATTTCTGAAAAATAGGTTTTAGAGGATGTTGCTACAATTTTTCCTGGCTATTTTGTTCCCACTAGACTCAAGCTACATGCTTTGTTGCAAATTTCCTTGTAGCCACAGGAGCTACAGTCCTTTCATTGTCATTTTTCATCTTCAGCAGTGATACCAGTTTACTTCCCACACCAGTCTTTAGTTAACTGATGGATTTTGTGCCAGAAGTGCAGTGTTTGCCCATATAGAAAGTTACCTGAGAGTTGACCTCCAAGGAAAAAATAAATGTAATTCACCTGCTGTAATGTTACAGGATGTACTGCATATCTCAAACAGCAGAGAAATGTGCCCAAGGCTACAGTGAGTCAGTCACTGAGACAGCTGGAATTGGAATTTAGAAGCTACTTGCTTTCACCCTGTTGTAATTATTATTTATTTTACCATCGAAAAGATGAGGTCTCTTCAGGACCCAGCCCTTTTGTACTACATACTGTACAAACAAAGAATGAGGGATACTCTGCTGAAAAACTACAGTTCTCTCTAACGAAAGTTTAACGTATGTCAGTAACAATTATTTTCAGGAACAAGGTATAACATGGCAACATTCAAGAGGAAAATAAATTATTTTACAATTACATATAATTAAATATCACTCTATTAAAATAACTGGAAAGCATTTTTGCCTTCCACTTCAGATATTTATTTTACCATTTTTAATTATACTTACCACTGAGGTTCTCCAACAGGAAATTTAAGAGATCCATGAATCCTGAGAGCTGTATAAGACTGAAGTTCATTTCTTTAGCCCACCAAAATCCTGCAGTATAATAATCTAGCAAAGTAGCTTCTTTCAAAGATGTCTTTAATTGTTTAAAATTCAGAAATTCTTCCAGCATTCTAGAAGAAAATGTGCAGTAAAATAATGAAATTAAAAATAAATTATAGATTCCAAAGTTTAACTTAGTCTGCTTGTAACTATATTTATAATATTTGCTAATATGAGAAATATATATATATATGCATATCTCTTCCTGGAACTGAGCTACATCAATTTATAGATACAAACACTTGTGATCAGAGGACATATCGAGCGAAAAAAGCAAACAAACATCTACAGGTTTCAGTAGACACCACTTGGATGTTAAGACATGACTAATGAAATAACAAAAATAAGAGCATTACAAAAAAACAAGGAGAAATACACTGAAAATCCCTGAGAAAAATCAGTGTTTATTCAAAAAGGGGTTTGTAGGATGAAATGGAACAATTAATCTCCAATTTCCACACCACTCTTTCATTCTGATTAAGATGGTTTTACAGTACTGAAAAGGTCTTGCTTTCCTTTCAAGATTATTTTTCATGTAACCTCTGAAGAAAAAAATGTTTGAAAAACAATGTAAATAGTGTATTATAAGATTACTGAAAGTACCTAAAGTATTTAGAAGTTTAAATTCCACTTTCACAATGGTCAAGACATTTAAGACAAGCCTCGCCTTTTTTTACTGGCACACTGGAATTTTTTCCACTCACTTTAACTTGAAAAACTAATGAAAAAACACACTCCCTTGCAGGAGACCATACCGTTGCTGACACATTTAAGTCTATCCTATCCAAACACAGAATTAGTTACGTCTTTTACAATAACCGGGTGCATTTTTCCACAAGAAGAGAGGGGACTAGGGCTAGGACTTCAGTCTGCGGTTCTTCCAGTATAACTTCAGCCGTGTCTCAGGTAGCGGAGTTTTAGTTTAAAGCACTCTTTGGCTGCTTAGCTGCACCTGATGATACAGGTTCCAGTTGTGATCACGGTTTCTAGGGCCCTGTAGAAGAGCCAGGTCTTTCCCCCTGCTGCCCTCTTCTCATTCCTTCCTAAGAAGGGCATTAATCTCAGACCTACTGATAGGCAACTATTAGTTTTTCAGGGTTTTCACCAAGTCCGTAGAGATACACTGTCAGATAAGATGCATTTCTTCCTTTTTTTTTTTAATTAAATCCTCAATAGCTAACAAAGTACAGCATATAACCCAATTAGGTTTGTTTAAAACATGTATTCCTTTGTTCTGCATGACAAATTTGTGCGGCTGCACACATGCAAGTTGGTTGAAAACACTTAACTCTGTACTGAAATAGAAGTGGACGGTGGCCAGCTGAACTTTCCAAGGTTTGAAAGAGTCCATATCCTCTCTTTCTGAAGCTACTGCCAACTCTGTGTTTTCATAATCAGAGCTTCTCAGGGATTTAGATTTTCTCAGGTACTGCTAACAATGCCAGTACTCATCTTTTCAATATTCTGTAAGGCATGTCACTGGCAATAGCATCTATACAGCACTGGGAGACAATGGGGCATTTAGATTTCCTGATCACTGTTTCACAGAAGGTGTTCAAGTCGTACGGAGATGGACAGCAGTATAAAACTCCGCGATAGATGGGAATGCAGGACATCAGAATTGGCATACTGACTCAGATCTGTTCTGATTTTCTCACCTTAGCTATGGCCTTCAAACTGCTCTTGTGTATAGACATGATGCACTGTGGTAAACGAACAAAATTTCAATGCTGCTACTAAACTGCTTAGAGTGCATAAAATACCCTGTAACTATCATCTGTTCAGTCGGATGCGATATACACTTTACATTCCACTTGTACAGCATATAAGTATATAGAAATACATACACGAGCAGCTGAGACTAAGAAGAAATGTACAATCTTTCAATGATTATTTTTTTTAACTTATAGGGAAAGTTTCAAAATAAATTGTGTCACTAAGCACGTTCTAGTCTCCAGTAAGTTGCAGACTTTAGTCTCATCTAAAATAAGAGGGATGTCATGGAAGAAAATACAGTAAATGAAAGATTTTTTTTTTTTTTATTATACGATGGGAACAAATTTTCCGTCCAGTCTCCTTAAAAAAACCTCAAACAAAAAAAAATCATAGAAAGGACATTTTTTTCCCCCTCAAGACAGTGACAAATAGGATGAACAGAGTATATTTCAAGAACAATATTTTAACCTCTATTAAATGGTTTATCTGTTCATTGGGACAAGGCTGGATTTTTTTATTTCCTCCCCCAAAACTCAACCAGTGGACCAGCCCTTTGGCTTCCAATTCACTAAGAATTTGCTAGTGAACACAAGTGCTCCTAATTGTGCACTCAAATGTATTTTTTATTTACATCTTATTATTTCATTTACAGCATACCTAATATTATTATAAGCTCAGAAACTATATTAATATGAAATATCATTGGGGAAGTAAAAAGGAGTCAAAGAAAAATCAGAAAATACAGTAAAGCAAAGTGGACCCAAGATCAAAAATACTTCTTCCTATCTTTCATGAATATGAATGAAGAATTAAAGACTAATGACGTAACCATCACAAAAAAAATAAATCTAATAACCAGTCTTAATTTTTATCTTATTATTGTATTGGTTCTAGTATTTTTATCATTGCCACTTACTTTTGAACTCCTTCTGCATCTTGTTCTGACAAAGTAGTAATTTGGGAAAGAGAAAGAAACATCCTCTTAAAAATCTTCTTCCCACCCATGGCATCCTGATCTTGGTCTTCTTCCTACACACGCATATGTATATAAGAATATAATTTTAAAAGGTTTATTTTTCTTATGTCAGTAACATATCTAAATAACTTCTTTTTTGAAGGAAGTATCTATGGGATTAATTCAACAAATGCCAAAAAATGTAACACAGCTATAATTACATGGCAGCAACACAATAACCTAACACATTTTCACTAGAGAAAAGCTACGCAGACACATGGAAAATAGTATTTTTATCTTAAATTCACGTGGGAACACAGTGACATATCATGTGCAGCACAGGATTAAATTAACTTGCAAATAAAAACAATAGAAATACAAAGGTGCAAAAAAAAATGTCCATGAATCTGGATATGACCAACATGATATGGGATTGCACAGTAATCAAAATTTAAAATCAGTTTCTGTTTAAGATATTATCAGTATACATATACATTAGCATGCTATTTGCTCTCCACTCTGTGCTTGATTGCATTTTCAAATTTATCATCTACACCGACTCCTTTCCTAACCAAAAAAAAAGTCCAAGATATTTGCTGCAACACAGTGACCCACATACAAGGATCTGCCACCACTCTTTCAAGGAAGTTCAGCATGTTTTTAACAGAGAAGGCAGTTCCTTACAGGAAATACAAGGACATATACGTTATAAGGGATAAACTGAGCATGAACCAGAAATGCAATGGACTTACAAAAAATAGGAACACGTGATGATATTTTATTTACTGTGTGTCACTGACCAAAAACATTTGACTAGAGACTTCAGCAAGAAACCAGTAGAAAAAAAGACCTGTTTCACAATGGAATGGCAACAAGGTGAGGCGCCAAAGCGCATTATAAAACATGCAGTGAGGCAGACACTTGACAGAGGTGCCTGGCAGGGGAACAAGGGGCAAAGGTTGTGGAGTGGAACAGAATTGAATACTTCCGTTGGAAGGGACCTGCAATACACTATCATGGGAAAGCGTAAGGAAAAATATTTCACTATGAAGAGAGTTAAGCATTAGAATAGGTTACCCAGAAAGGTACAGAAGTCTCCATCCTTGCAGGTTTTCAGGACTGAACTGCACAAAGCCCCGGTCTACATTCAGTGCCAGCCCAGCTCTGAATCATAGAATCGCAGAATTATTGAGGCTGGAAAAGATCTCTGAGATCATCAAGTCCAGCCTATGACCCAACATGACCACATGGGCTAGACCATGGCACTAAGTGCCACATCCAGCCTCTCCTTAAACACTGCCAGGGACGGTGACTCCACCACGATTCAGCAGGCAGCTGAACCGGTTCATGACCCAAAGAAAAGTTCATGTCCAGGCTCATGACTGAGTCTAATGGGCCTGATCTGCTTCTGCGCCAGGACACAAACACCTGATCGTAGTTCACTCACAGCAGGCACATTTCTACTTCTGTGGGACAGAAGTGCAGCAAGGGAAGTTTGTAGAATGTTTTTAGCTCACCCAGAGAGAGAGAGAAGTGGAACATTGCCAACATGAGCTGATTTTTGAGCCTGAACAACATTGTTCTGGGCTAATAATCAACTAACTCCAGCCTTGGTCAAGGAGAGCCCCCAAATAAAGCTACACTACTCCCCCTGCTGCTGCCAAACTGCAAGATATACTTAAAACTCGGACTAGCTGAACTGCAGCATTCAAGACTGATGAAACAAGACTGAGAGCAATACATAACATTTAGTGGATAAACCGTTTTTTTTCTTCTAATTAGGTACTAGAGTACCTTCACATGTACTTTAATAAGAAAAATTCTTGTTCCCAACTGTAAAGGAGTTAGTCTCAGATACAATGTCTCATCAGAACAACAGGAATTAAGCAAATGAAGGCTTCCTTCACATAGTTAGGAGCATGACATTAGCTCATTTCTGTTTTATTAGCAACAATTCATGCAGTATAAAAAGTACTCCTACAGTCAGTAATGTTGATATAATTGAATCTGCATGCCCTAGCTAGGAAAAAGGAAAAGAATTAATAGCTCAACATGCTAATATTATACAATCATGAGAGATAACTTTGAATAATTAGGCAAAATATGTTTTCCTGAAGTGACCAATGTTAGAA